AAGTGGGAGAACTTGCACAATTGGTGGCTGACTAAATACTTTTTTGCCCCACTGTATTTCTAGAAGTCATTTTGGAAAAGTGCTCAAAAACATACCCTAAACTAAAAAGGTTGATCATTCCTGTTCTAGATCATAGCTTCCATCAATCCTGTCCACTTGACATGTTGGCTGGGGATAATACCATCTGAAGAATGTTCCTTCAAAAACAGGCAACTCTTTTGACATGAGGCCTTCCAAATTTTCTCCCCTCCCCTCCCCCCTTCCCTCATCTCCACTTCTGGGTGGTGAGCTACCTAGTAACTTAGGGACACTGCATCTCCTTGAGTCACTGGATAGTTCTTTCCCCATCACATCAATATGAGATGAAAAAAACAAACATAAACATGGAAAAACATATCACTCAGGATGGGTTTGTCTTTCCTCTCCTAGTGGTTCCAACATGAAGAATGAGAAGGGGTTTGAGCAGATCTGGCTAAAGCCTGTTTAACTTGGTCATGCAGAACCTAGGTGAAATGCATGTCAAGATAGACTCTTTTCTGCATGGCTTGCATGACAGAATCCTATGTAAAAATGGTGTGTTGTCTAGGCCCTGAACTGGAAGCAGGGTATAATTAACTGCTGGCAGGCAGCACAGTATGCCAACAGCTGGGCTTCAACGGGTTTGGCAAAAGGAGTGCACTTTCCAGAAGTGTCCGAAGATACTTAGTGAATTAAGTAGAAAGACTCTGTTCTGGGCAACAATATTGCATTAACTAATTCATACAGGATGTGTTTATACAAGTTCATAAAGTGACTAAAAAGCAATGTGGAGATTTACAAAGAATGAGGAAAGTGATCTCTGACAAGACTCTTTTAAAAGTGATAGGTATACATTTGCTGACAATTTCATCCTTTGGAACCTGGGGTTTACCAGGGCCACTGAAGACTGAGCAGTTAGAGAAAGACAAGAAGCAGGAATCTTTACAGCAATATGACAATGACACAAGGAAGCTATTGTGCAATTCAAGAATGCATTCAAAAGCCACACAATTATTTCCTTGTGCAGATATAGTGGAAATAAAGTTTACTAAAGGAGAACTTTGATCGTGACAAGCCTCAAAGTCGTGAGTCAGCAAATTCAGGTCACACTATATTTGAAAGTCATAAGGGAAGAAGTCTTTTTGCTGAAAATAGCAGATCTTTCAATATTTCACAAATAAATATTTCATAAAGAGGTTTATTTCCATATAAGTATGTGTAAAAAAAGAATACATGTTGTGTAAATAAGAACCTTCAACTAACATAAGCAACTTGACATTTTCAGGACTGACAGACTTAGCTGAAAAATGTATGCAAAAATAGGGAATAGGATAGAGGGAGATATAAGTAAGGCTTATAAATATGTCAATATATAACCACTTTGTAGGGCACAAGCCATTTTGTTTCCCTTAATTCTTCAGTATATAGGGATAGGCAGCAGCCACTTGTATCATAAGCCAAGAAACAAAGTTGAGGGCTTGGAGCATTCAGCATGGCAAAACAGGAGCAAGGAGATGTGATCGTTGTTCAAACCTCCAACTAGGAAACTCACTGGGTGACCTTGGGAGCTGGTCACTCTCTCAACTTACCTGACAAAAGACTGACATGAACAGAACCAGGAATGAGTAGGAGGTGAGAAAAGTTAAAAAATAGGACCTTTTGCTTCTGCTTCTTGATACTCTGCTTGGAAGGGTGGGGGTGGGGGGCAATTGCTATCCATCTTCAGAATGGAGGTGAGAAGGTGTGAAGCAAAAAGAAACCATTGTCAGGGTGGAAGGAGGTGAACTTAGACAAGAACAAATAGGAACCATTAAAGAGTAAGAACTGGGCCCTCTGCTCTTATTCACCAAACCAGTTATTTACTGAGTTCCAAGAGACAAACAACCCTCCCTAACATATTCATTTTTTAAAAAATTATGGGCACCTGATGTTTATATAACAAACACTTTTCCCTATGTGCACCATGTACCCTTTTGCCTACTGTGTAATAACATGGACGGTTCCTTACTTCAGCAGCTCCAAGGTTTTGTGATCCAGAACGAGTCTGGGGTTTCCAGTCAGGTCTAGTTCCTGCAGCTTCAGAGGCAAGGTTTCAGGTAACGTGATTTCACTCAGCTCATTACAGCTCAGGTCCACACACTGAATAAGGAGGGGAAAGAGAAAATAAGCAGACCACAGACTTCAGAAAACAGATGCCTTCTTGTTAAGCAGACTATCATAAGAAATCGAAGGTCCAACTATCACAAATAACATACGAAGTAACAAACCCAGGTCTGGACTGTACTATTTCAGACCACAGGTGGGAGCACAGGTAATGGAACACTCCACAGCTTGGGAACTTCACTACTGAGAAAATTACTGCATGAATCAGGAATGTAGGATAAACTTTCTTCCTTAATATCTCACTTCCTGTGGGTAAGTATGCTGGTTGTCATTTAGCAGAGGGAGCAACCCAGGTAAATATGCAGCTGCAGTCTGAAGTAGCAGAGCTCAGAGCCCTCTCCTGCCGTTTGAGAGAATTAAGCCAACCTCCTCCACCGCCCTTAATTGAGAAAATTTCACAATGGCCTCAACAGAGCACAAGACCTGATTATATACACATTCCTTGAAGTAATCCTCCTTTAATCTAACATACCATCATAAAATGTTGTTAAAAAATAAAGCAGAGAGCAATTGATATTCTAACTAATGTTCATGACTGGATATCAGTTGTATTTTTTCCTTTCTTCTCCATCTGCTTTCTGGATTTCTGAAAAACCTGAAAGGTTGAACACTATTTAGCGACTCTGAGTGAGCCTAATTTAATTTTGTAACTTTTCTTAACTTTATGCTTCATTAAATAACCTCCATGTTTGTTGCAGAATGAGTAGTGATTTGTCTACTGTCTGCATTAAGAGGGTACTTATTATCCTTAAGCTAATGGAGCCCGTCAGTGTTAAGTGAGTTTTAATTAAAAGTAATTTTATAAATACATAGATTGGGAGCCATTTGTGGACAGGGAATTGTCATAATTCTGACAGAGTGGTTATTATTCATCACCAGCCTTTAATACAGAGCATGTTAGGAATTTAAAAGGGCATTTAAAATCAATTTCAGAATGTAGCCTCCACTGAAAATTAAATAAAGTTTTAAGATGTCACAAAAGAATAGATAATGAATGGCAATGAACTGGAATACTGCCAAAGATATTATAATATACAGTCCATCTAGTACTGGGAGTAGAGTAATAGGAAGGAAAGGATGACAGGGATAGATCATATGAATTATTAAAAGTCTAAAAATCACTTCCTTTGCACGGCAGAGAATTTTACTGAATTTTAACTTATGCATAGTGTTCAGAGTAACAGGACATTGTGAGAAAAATCTGGAAAAGCAGAGCACTTGGCACACAAATTGGAAAGATAAGAGAATAAACACCATTCTCAACATAGCAAAAAAAATTTTTTTTAACCTTGGGACAGCACAGTGTGTGATGCACAGAACCCTTTTGTTTCAACCACAGAGATGTATGCTTTGGTTATAGAAATGCACAAAACTACACAAAAGTAGCAGTGCTCATCTCACATGGCCAATTTGGAGCAAAAAGGTGACTTGACATCTTGAGGAAGATGGAATAACTATTCCTAGCCAAAGTATTGATGTAAAATATCTCACTTTACAACTTTCAACATTGCTTCATTCTCTCCCTCTCACACACAGCTCCAGTTGCAATACCAGTATCTCAAACATCCATTAGTGCTCTGAATTCTTCCAGGAATCATCTTTCTCTTTGGATGGAGAACATGGGATTTTCTATAGCACATGAACACAATGCAACTTCATTTAAATACACATAACTTGCCAAGAGAAATCAACCATGATTTTGAGATATGTAATCTCAACATTCTGAATGTATATCTTCATTATGGATTACTTCCAAGCAACTAAAAGGAGCTTTAGGAATACATTCTTACAAAGACCCTACCTTGATCTCGCCAAGTTGCATGACTTCTGGAAAGACTTCGATGCAATTGGAGTGCGCAATCACAGTATGCATCCGGCGACAGTTCATGATAGTCGTTGGAATGGACTTCAGCTTATTTCCGCTAACATCGATTTCTTCCAACTCTTCAAGTTTGGCCATTTTACTACACAAAAGGGCAAAAGAACGGTTTTGAGCATAGAACCAAAGTATTATCTTAGAACAACGACTTTAAAGGCCAGTGTGTCTTGGAGCCTTTCCACACTTGGCTTGTACAAACTAGTCTGTCACATTGCAGAAAACTAGCAGCAAACCTACTGGTCGTTAGTAACAGCCCTGCAGACAAGGAAGGCACTATTTGTTTATCTAATCTCTTCCTTTCTTGGATGCCTCTTTGGACAAATTACATTCACTCATATCAAAATGAGAGTACTAGTAGTCTCAAGGTTCATGATTTCCAGCCAGGGGTTCTAGCATTCCTAGAACTGAAAGGGACTTAGAAAGTCAGTCAGTCAGAACTAGTTTCAGTAAGGGAATGTACCTTTATTCTTGTAAAGCAATGTCTCCAATCTGTCTCCTGCAATATTGCTTTTTCCTGATTTTGATCAAGTTCTGTTTCCCTGCAAATTCTGCATGCAGGTTCTAATGTGGCCCTTTTGAACAGCAGAGAACAGGTCTGCTCTATTGCCTGGTATGTCTAGATACATATGACATTTAAAAAATATTATTTGCAAGACTAAAAAAGAAAAAAGGGGCCATTTATATGAATATTAATAACTAGACTATTCAATTAATTTAATGTGTATGTTCATATCATGCTAGAGAATCTGTTTATGTTTCAGTCAGTTACCTATTTTAAGAAGAAAAAAATGGAAGAGTAAACGTATACCACTGTATAATTGTATTACAGACAATATATCTAAATAGTCCTCCATGTGAGACTCCTGGAAACACAAGTTATACTTAAACAAAAATATACGTAGGGAAGTTCTTCACTGTGTAACTGATGGAGAATGAGAGTTCTCCTATCCCTGTGATATCAGCATTTTTGCAATCATAACCTTTGTCCTGTGGTTAATTTTCTCATCTTCTAAAATTGGACTCCAAGGCCATCCAATATTTAAGAGATGTCAGATATGCTGATTCTAAGGTAGCCCATGAGAGGAAGTTTCCAATGGACAAAACTGGCCATTCATTGACCCAAAACAGAAGATGCGCCTTGTGATTTAAACTGAAATCTGGAAGATTAAATTTCCTTCTCTAATTGACAACTAGGGCTTCCTGAGTGAAAAATGAGAGGAGATTTCTCCTAATAAAACCCTGAAATTATGTTAAATTTCCAAAGACATGTTTTTCAAATGTAGAAATTGTAGATTACCAGTGACAAAACATTTTTATAGTACTGATTTTATACTACAAGCTCAAACTGAGTGCAGCCTATATATCCAATCTACTGCTATTTCTGATAATAAATATACAAATATTTAAATTCAGTTTGATCTTCTGAAGTACACTGCAAGACAATTTCAATACAAGGTAAGTTATGATCCATCAGAACTATTACAATATGACTCCTCCTACAAGTGCACGTGGCTTATAAATGATGGCCATCTGCATCCATGGTTTGTTTAGGATGTCATCCAAACCAGAGTCACTGATGTGTCCCTCTTGAAAGAAGCATGAGACACCAGCATGCTGCTCATCTGGTAGCAAGTTCAACTGGATTGGGTCAATACCATATTTACCCAAAAAGAAGATACCTTTTAGTGAAATATCAAATAAATAACTTCCTTTAAATAAATAACCAAATAAATACACCAAAATGTATTTGATTAACAGGAGAATCGGCTACTGGCTACTATATGTTTTCTTACCTTGCAGGAAAGCTCTGCAAGCGATTGTAGGCCATATGTAGTATCTTCAGGTGAGGATGACCGGTTAACAAGGGCACACTTTTATCTGTGAGGTGATTGTTGGTCAAATACAGTTCTTGTAAAATACTGTGGGTCTCCTCTGAAAGAGTGGCTGGAGGTAACATTTCCAGTTTGTTGGCAGAAGCATTCAAGTACCTTAAGCTGCAAAATCAATTATTAGAGAAAAAATATGTACATTTGGTTTTGTTTATTTTTAAATGACCAACCACAAAGCCAAAATAAGTCAAGTCTAGAATTACAGATGACTTGAGCACCAAATTATACAGGACTACAGCAATACATCCCACCAACTGGCAGTTTTCATGAAGAAGCAGCATTTTGCAATGCTCCTCTTGTCATTTTCCCAAACAATAAAACACAGGTTTTCCCTTTCAGATTGGATGTTAAGTCTTTCTTGAGTCAAGCTCAACTCCTAGTGACTTCATGGACACCCCCTCTGTTATTTCCTTGGCAAGAAGTTAGTGGTTTACCAATGCCTTCTTCCAGGATGTTTTTCAACTTCGCAATGCAATCTAGAGCCCTGGAATTTCCTAGTGGTTTGCCATCCAAGTACTAAACCAGTCCAATCCTGCTTAGTTTATTCAAAACCAGTCAAGGTCTGCTACCTGCTGTGACCAGCACTATTACACAGGGAGCCACTGCAGTGCTTCTGTAGCCTGTTTTCTATGGGAGGGATTTCTTATCACACCACCTCCTCTTCCCATTTGCTCTCAGATTTCATTTCCATATAAAATCAGGCATTCCCCCATCCCCAAAAGGTTGTTCATTTTATTGTTCATCAAGTTTTTAATGTCTGGGTCCCTGGTTGTATGTGTTGCTTGCAAACTGATTTTCATTCTGCCTCTCCCCTTCTAATCTAGTTTGTAACTAGCAGACTAAGCTGCCCAGAGTCATTGAGTCAGGTGGCATACAAGTTTAATGATTATTATTTCTATGGAAGACGTATTCCTTCTTTTATTTTTGTGGATGGGAGATGAACAGATTTTTATTAATTCATAACCCAGTCTGCCAGAGCCAAACCTGCATGAGCTCAATGGGTACTGAACTATTGGCTAACTTCAGAACAGCAAGGGTGAACACCAGCTGAGGTTGGGTTTTCTTTGCAAGTTCCAGAGTTGCAAAATACAGAAATCCCCATGACTATGAATATAAGCACAGGGTAAAGATAAGTGTTTTGAATTTATTTAAATGTGTTTTGCAAATGTTTGGGAAATGGAAAGTTGACGGTCTAGAAAATCTCAAAGGTACAGGTGAATCTTCATGTATCATACAATTTTCCATACAGAAATATTTTTAGTGTAGATATTGTAGAAAACAGCATGAATTCCGCATTGGAAGATTGCACATACAGTAATACTACATTACCCTTTCCCTATTTGATGATTCTAGAAATGTTTAATTATCTCATCCCCAACCAGAAATTGTAACATTCACAAGGCAGGGTTGTAGCATTCACAAGTTCCTGGTCCATTACCAGATGCTTTTTCCCTAAAAGTCACAAATACCCAGAACTAGTTTTATAAAAAGTATAACTTTATTTTAAGTATACATTTTCAATGACCTTTGCAATGGTTTGGTTGCACTATACCTGGACGTTTGTTTTAAATTGCTCAACTTCTTTGCTACCTTTATCAGAGGCTCCTTCTTGCAAAACGTTCATAGTCATGGGGATTTCTGTCTTTTGCAAATCTGGAACATGCAAAGAAAACCCAGCCTCAGCTGGTGTTCACCCTTGCTGTTCTCAAGTTGGCCAATAGTTCAGTACGCATTGAGCTCATGCAGGTTTGGCTCTGGCGGAGTGGGTTATGAATTAATAAAAATCTGTTCATCTCCCATCCACAAAAATAAAAGGAGGAATAGAAGCTTTTGATAGTAAGGCTGCAATAGCTTTATTGCATGCCTTACTATCAAAAGAGTGTCGATTAATGGACATATAAAACAAGGCCTTCTCTACAGATTCAACTGATTCTCCTCCTGGGAATGTTAGTAATGTGATGCTTTGCTTTAAAAGGGCAGCCAAAACAGTTCTATTCTGCCTGGTTTTAAAAAACTAATTTAGTAGCATTGTCTGGTTTTTTCATTTTCTTTTAACTGGCTGATTGACATGCATTATTATTGCCAATTATTCATCTGTTTGAGGGGCCTGATAAACAGAAACAGGGTACATACATGGTTTCAACAGACGCAAATAATTTTATTGAGAAAAAAAGTAAGTGCATCTAGTAAACAGCCAGTTCTGCTTGAGTTCTAAGAACCTGAGTGGTGCTTTGCTTTAACTTTTAGAATTCTCAGCTGTCATAGCTGCAATCACATGCTTAAGAGTTTACAGAAAAACAAATTCTTCAAAAAGTTCTAAAAGCAGGAAATAACATTATGCATATAGACCTATAATGCATTCATATTGTTTATATGTTAGCTTCCACATACACTTGGAAGGCTATCTCAAGATTTTTATGTTTAGTCTTAAAAAAGTTGAATAGAAAAACACTGTGTAGTTAAAGTGATGTATTTTTGAAAGCAGCAATTTTCATGTTCTTGAGTCAGGAAGCATTAGGCTCTATATAGAAAGATATCTTCACCAGTAGACATCTTGATAGACAAAAGAATTGGGCATAGCTTTTGTAACCCATTCATTCTTTGGAGAGAGATGGGGAGGGGACTGGAATGCAATCTAAAATGGAAAGCTAGTGGGGGAGAGAGGAACATCCTACTCATTTCCCTGGTCCCTTCCCTCCTGCCCATACAGTTAACCTCACTGGGAAAATTATTTATTTGTTGTAATAAATTTATATGGGTGCCCAAATCATATATTGTGACCCTGATCAGCTAACATAGGATTAAAAACTGGAAACAAGGCTAACAAGATAAAAACATCACAAAAGAAAACAATGTAACTGAACTCAACTCATGATCAATTCCATTTCAAATCACTACAGATGGACTCATCCAACACCCTGGCCTGATGTCCGGGGAACAGCCAGGTCTTCAAGGCCTTATGGAAGACCAGCAGGGTTGGGGCCATCCGAATCTCAGGGGGTATGTTTCAGAGGCAGGTATGACTCACCAAACACACTTTTGGAGTAAAAGTGGCTTGGGAAAGAATAGGCAATATTAACCAGGAATGAAGCAAAGGAAGAAAAAAGAATTAAGCATCCGCTCTTCTGCACCTGTCTGGATTTTCCACATATGGCAGTGTAGATATGCCATGCTAATCCATAGTGTAGTGTGGTATGGATGAATAGGAACAGCCTTCTGTGAAGCATGGACTCATCCACTTATATCTGCCCTCTGATTAAGTGTTCAGATGCTTCCGTTGCCAGCCTTCCTTAATCATATCTTGCCATATCATCTAAACTTTGAATTTTAGTTAATACTAGTTGATTTTAGATAAGACAGCTTCACTATAGTTTAAAGTTAGTGTGTTTGAAACCAACCAAAGTTCAGCTAACAGTTAGCAATCTATACACCATGACAAGCCATTGTTAGGCCTAGATGGAAATGAATATATTTCCTAATATTTTCTAGTTATATAGTAGGCAGATAAAAGATGCAAAATGCAAGAGCCTTAAACTCACTGATTTGTTCATGTTTTCATATTCTACTTTACATATTACATATTCTACATAACACATATTGTCCAACAACACCTCACTTGCAGTGAGAATATTTCAAGTTCACAGGCTACCAGAGACAGTCTTCTATAAGGAATTCTATATTTTGTGAAGACAGCTTTCATCAGTTGGAGTTTATTTTGCTCAGATGCTTGTGGGTTTATTCTGTAACAATCATCTTAAAAAAAAAAAAGATCCACTATCTTTGTTTTCTTTGCAATGCAGCAGTAACATTCTCTGGAGTTTCTCACTTCCTGATTAAGAACCATTTACGTTTTCAAAGTTGGACTTTCACTATTTCCATGATGTCACTTCCTGCTAGAGGGATATGATGTTACTAAGACCCTTTGACTTACTTTGTAAATCAGGGGATGGAGAATTCATGACATTTAATCATAACCTTTCTCTAAGATGCTCAATATGTTTTATATACCTGCTCTCCCTTTTTCTCACAACCATGTTGGGAAATAGCAAGTAAGCAAAGTTCTCCCAGTTAGGTTCACAGCCGAAATAAGATCACAGCTGAAGACTCCCATTCACAACCAACTCTCCACACAGACTGTATCCTTGCAAAGAATATCTCAGTGGTACAGAAATAAGATACTTATTCCTGACATAATCCAAAACTATTTTGTTCAGTGTAAACATTCCACTGTTTGTTTTTTTCAACTTGGTAAATTGTGGCCCCAATGGAGTTTGGCATATTACGTGCCTTGTCCTGAAGGAGGTTGCTGAAGAAGCTCCACCACTGATTCCCATCACTAGCTTGAAAGACTGGAGAATATAATGATGCTAGAACAGCAGAGGTTTTATCACAGATCCAGTTATGAAGACCATACCAGCTTAAAACTGTTCCATTTTGGAAACATCAGTAGGAAATGACATATGAGACAAGCTATCCAATTTCAGTTGTTCTTTAAAATCGAAGTGGGCAGTTCTGGTCAAAATCTAGTGCAGCGCCATGTCTTCAAAATCTACATGCTCAGACTGGATTTATACAGGTTTATCAAGCTTCTTGATGGTATGAGATTTTTAATCAACACTCTTGCTGTAATTAAAAAGAAGCAAAAGCCAGCAGCTATAATTTCTTTGGATGCTGAGAAAGCCTTTGATATGGCTTCCTGAAAGTTTCTGAGGATAATTTTGACAATTTGGGTTTCCCTGAAGTGTTATATTTTGGATTTGTCTGTATCATTTATTTAACTCTTAAATTACAAATGATTATTGCATGCCTTCTTTTTATTTTTATTTTTTTGCTGCCTTCAAGTCAGTCTTGACTCCTGGCAACTGCCTGGACTAGTCCCTGCAGTATTATTAGCAAGTTTTTTGGAAGTGGTTGGCCACTGTCTTCTTCCTAAGGTTAAGAGAGAGTGATTGGCTCAAGGTCACCCGTCTGGCTTTGTGCCTAAGGCAGGACTAGAAGTCATGGTCTCCCAGTTTCTAGCCCAGTGCCTTAACCAATACACCAAACTGGCTCTCACCCTCTCCTTAGTTAAACTTATGTCTAACTCAGAATATGCCAGTGATGTT